TACACTTCAATTAACTGAACTTAATTAGCCACTAATGGTCAATATAAATCAAATCCACCAATATCCTCACATTAGGCACTGAAAGAATACACATTCATAATGTTAACTATGCGAACAAATTGTTTTATATAGTTTACTCATATCAAGGACATATTTTGTTTGACAAGCGTTTCCATAGCAACAAACCCCATTTCAGTTATAATCCAAATCTATCCCTATGTCTACAAGAACAAAGTGGTAACTGTTCGAACATACCAATTTTATCCATAGGATCCACATAGGATCACTTCATTTGTATTCACAGTATTTCACTAGATCACCAACTAATAATGAATATAAATGCATTATTCTTGATAATGAAATCTCCAATTCAACACCTGTTTCCATGGTAACAATACATGCTTTTCAAATGAGTCAATATCATACATTTTAGATATATACCTCTTTATTGAAATGAGACCAAAACTAATCCAAAGGGCCACAGATATTTAAAGTTATAAGACAATTAAAATGTGTTTTGGTATTGAAATTCACAAACTGTGTGCTAAACCTGTGCAATTATAGTAGATATCAGTAGTTCTGGCCATTGCTTCATCAGAGCAAAATATGCTATATCTCAGTGGGTGATTGTCCAATCCTTTTGTTTCGTATACCAACGTATTTGTAAGAAAAGCAGCTTTCATTTGATATACATGAAGGTGATATTTTAACTAAATTATAATTACACGATGAATTGGATTAAAGGAGACCAAATGAAATAAACAGTTTTCTATTTGAATTTCACAATTGTGATGTCACAATGTAAATTAAAACTGTTTTATACTACAAATTTAGTCACAAATGTTCAAGATTTACCAATCTCTATTGAATTCTCACCATTTACGCATTAAAAAGGAGAATATTTTTATCATTTGGTGCACATAAACCTGAAATTGGTATTTAGTTCTTATTAAGTATAACTATTGTTCAATGCCCGTTTCCATGGTAACGTCACCTGTTTTCAAAGTAGGTATCTATCACATAGTACAGGCCAATATCTCAGCTTTCCAACGATACCAAAATATCCCATAGGGTCAGCCGACTATTAAACTCCTTTATTTATGGACTTCTGAGGCTTGGCCTACTCGCCTATATTTCATGACTACCAGCCTGATATAGTCACAATGTTACATGACTTTAAATATCAAGTAGTTATTTCCTAAAATGACAGGGTTGCAGCTTTTTTTGACCACCCTGTACAGCAATATTACTTAATATTATTATATTACTTAAATAATATTATAGTTTTCTTTTGTTTAATTCCAGGTGATGTTTGAGACCAAAAAAACGGCGAGCGGTTTATGTTGGCTATTTCCAAAGCAACAACATGTATGCATGTCAATACAAGGATTGCCATTGCGCATGTTCATTTGTTGCACAATACAACATAGAAAAAGCAAGCAAGATCAAAGATTATTAATTGAGCCATTAGAGCCAAATACGACACCAATCTCAAAAAAGAAGCTTTAAGATGAAATTGGGGAAGATAGCATCTCTCTATATAGGAATGAACAATCTCACTGTTGAGTCAAAGCCAGTGATATGGTGGGATCAATTTATGTGGCAAACGTCAAAGCCATTGTAATGTGGCAAACGTCAAAGCCATTGTAAATTCCTTGAAGATGAATCTGACAAAATGCGAAGACTTGATGAATATGACCCTAATTTACTTCAGATTTTTTTTTGAAATCGTTAGATTAGAACTTGGGCTAGTATAATGATGAAGCTAATAGATTATAATGTATTATGAAAGAACTAGAGTATTACTCATATTTACACGCCTAACCATCGACAACGTAGTGACAAAATATACCATTGCACACTTTATATTGTACAGTGTCACTAAAAACTGATGATGCAGGTGTGATGTAGGTTTTCAAAAATTAATTTTGGGAATACTTGAAAGATTTCAATTTCATCTTCAACTTTTAGCTTTCTGATCATTTATTTTTATGAGAATATGTTTCTCTAAACTACACAATTTAAGATGAGTGAAGATTTGATAAATATTATGTATTGGGTGTAATTTTAATAAAAAATCAGAAGAGTAGTTGTCAACTCCACTGAAGGGTGTCAGTGTAAATGAAATTCATGAGATGTTATATTGAACAATGCAATAATTAAACAAGTTATGTTTAAGGAACATGTTCAATTATCCCCAATACAGATGTTCTAAAGTTAAGGTAAATTTGATTTTTAAATCTTGTTGAATGTTATTTCATTTTATAAAAGTGTTGGTGTGGTGATTAATATGTGACCATGGGGTGTTAGCCTCTTACCCCTTGATCACTTGACATCTGTACTTTAATGTATGAATGAATTTTAATTATCTTAAGAAGTTGATAGAGAGATCTATACTAGTTAGTGGAAGATGACTTTTTAAAACCTCTTTATGCTATATCTGGAAAGTGTTGAGGTTCAATACCATGGTTCAATCAAGTTTATGTAATACTGTGATTGTTAAGTTTCAGTTTTAAATCAATCTGCTCCCCCTGCCCATTAGTGTTATTAAAAATATGTTGTCAGGGTTAACTGTGAATTCAGATATGTAAGTTCGTTGAAACAACGTACATCAAGATGACAAGGCACATTTGTAATTTTTTGATTTTTATTATTTTAACTAAAACATGAATATTTATTAAATTTTCAACCGACCTTAATTGTTGTGTAACTTAAGGAAACATATTCTCATAAAAATAATTTACACTCTTAGGCGACAGGGGGAAAAATGATCAAAGTAAATGTGAAAAACACAACATTTTCCAACCGATCATTGTTTTTGGTTTGATTTACTATGAAAAAAATGGAGCACTGCTCGAAAATCTTTTAACGTAATCAGAAAGCTAATGGTTTTCCTAATCGAATACACACAAAATTAAACATGAAATTCTTTATGCATTCCTCAGATTAATTTTTAAAACCTACATCACACCTACATCATATCTCTTGCTTCATATCAGTTAGAATAGTGACACTGTACATCAAAAGTCTACGGGGGTATATTTTGTCACTGTACTTTGTCGATGATCAGGTGTGATTTAAAATAAAAAAGTTCAAATGATCAATCTTCTGCCTGTTGTACCATCAGTTACAGTATCTTCTAATGAAGTATTTTCTGTAATGCTAAAGATTACTTGATCTGTACCTGATGAACTACTTTTTAAAAATATCTTGTCATAAAATTTGAAATTGTACCTATATAGAATTGCAATTAAAACATTATATAAGACATGTTAATTGCAATCCGATGAAAATTTCTGTTGCCAAACTTATGAATGGAAGCAAAATTGCTTTTAACACACAAATGTTGACTTAATGAATTTGAATTCAAACATCAATTTCGATTAAAAAACAGAAGGGAAAACTATAATTTCTGAATCCTTACCTGTAATGTCAGTTTACTAATTCAGATACCTTATTTCAGTTTTATAGATTGTTGTCTGAATTCAGGCACCTCATCCAAGCTTAGCAAGTTGTCTGAATTCAGACACCATATTTCAGTTTTATAGATTCTTGTCTGAATTCAGGCACCTCATCCAAGCTTAGCAAGTTGTCTGAATTCAGACACCATATTTCAGTTTTATAGATTGCTGTCTGAATTCAGGCACCTCATCCAAGCTTAGCAAGTTGTCTGAATTCAGACACTATATTTCAGTTTTATAGATTGTTGTCTGAATTCAGGCACCTCATCCAAGCTTAGCAAAGTGTCTGAATTCAGACACCATATTTCAGTTTTATGGAATGTTGTCTGAATTCAGGCACCTCATCCAAGCTTAGCAAGTTGTCTGAATTCAGACACCATATTTCAGTTTTATGGAATGTTGTCTGAATTCAGGCACCTCATCCAAGCTTAGCAAAGTGTCTGCATTCAGACACCTTATTTTAGTTTAAGAGAATCTTGTCTTTTTAAATTAAAAATGTGTGGGCATGTCTGAATTCAGACACATATTTTCCCATACTAAGAGTTGCATAGAGTAAAACATCTGCCTGAATTCAGACACTTCATATATCTACACAAAAAGCTTGTAAATATGTTGCTGATGTCTGTACATAACATAGATATACAGTACCTAGAAATATATATCTTTATTTTTATACTTTGCTGGTTGTTTATAATCTTTTCTCATACAAAAAACTTCTCCAACACCCAAAGAATACATTAATTGTCAAATATATTTCTTAATTTATATTAATAATTCAAACTTTTGTCACCTATGGAATTGCCAAACTACACTGGAACCTGTTCATAGTAGAAAGTTCCCTTTAACCTAATATTCATCAGTTTATGTGGTTCAATTTTCATGTCACCCTTATGTATCTAATAGTTATACAAATTTAAATAAAAGAAAATATTATTTGTCCAATGAAAGATATTTCACTTTTTGTGATTTTATAAAATGGGGTCTATGGTGAATCTCCCCCAACTAGAAGTTACAATAAATTAAATTGTTGATAAACAATTTTCAAAACTATATTTCTAGATGTACTTTTACATGTAGATTTCAAATATGACATCAGTTTGACTGAATTTTGAATATTTAATGGTGTACATCAAATCAAGATTATTTCTATTCAGTGTTTTCACAAATTCATTCATATATTACCCCCCCCCCGCCTGTTACTGACAACTGCCAAGCATGTTAGAGTAACAAGCTAGATACAGACATGAAGGATAGTGTGTTTAAATTCATTGACTGTGTGGGTCAAGAACCCAGGAGATCCAAATCTAACTTACTAATTAAGCTGTACAGGCATAAGCCACTTCAACTGTGCTTTTGTCATGACATATTACTTACATTAGAAGTTTGTAAATCTTGGGGATGAGTTTCTAAATCACATTTTTCATCATTTTTTCAAAAATACTTATTTTACTGAATATCTTGTGGAAAAAATGTTGCAGTCAGGTTTATATAATACATAAGATCTTGTTTCAAGGTTGAATGATTTTTGTTGTGTTATAGCCTGCTACGAATCCACTTGCTGCTCCAACCCCTGGCAACCACCCTCCAACAGCAGACCCAGAAAAGCGTAAGCTCATACAGCAACAGCTTGTTCTTCTCTTACATGCACACAAGTGTCAACGTCGTGAGCAGAGTAATGGTGAAATAAGAGCATGTGGTCTCCCACACTGCCGAACCATGAAGAATGTATTAAACCATATGACAACATGCACGGCTGGCAAGGCTTGTCAAGGTAACACAGATTTCAGTTATATACCAACACATCAATTAATTCATTCTGTATTTGAATAGAACAGTGCATTTTCTTTGTATTTCTGAGTTCCCTGTGCAATTGTGAACACAAAAGTAGGTTGTGAAACAGAAGGTTTGATTTGCCAAACATTTGAAAATCAACATTTGGGTTAGTCCAGTTCAGAAGTTCAAACTGTGTGACTTTATATTATTTCAGTGGCCCATTGTGCATCATCAAGACAAATTATATCCCATTGGAAGAACTGTACGAGGCCAGATTGTCCTGTATGTCTGCCACTGAAAAATGCAAATGAGGTTCGACGAAACAGTACATTAGCAGGTACATTGATCTCTATTTGATAATATTGTTGGTATTTCTTGTCATTGTGATTCCAGGTAACCAGCTCGTAGAATTCAGAATCTTTTAATTCTGAAAAATTTGTATATACAGTATATATAAGTTTTAAGTTCCTGTTAAACTGTTGGTATTATTAGATATAAATGTCTCTTTAGCACAAGCTGCGGGCACTAGCCTTACCCCAGGGGCCTCTGGGGGTTCAAGTTCTGGTCCCTCTCAGATGGATCTACAGCGGGCCTACAATGCCCTGGGCCTGACATACACCAGAGGTTCCGACTCCTTGCCTCAAGTGAGACCTAGTCTATCTGCCACAGCAGGTAAGTGCACACTAGAATTTTATTCCAGTGTTTTGGGTCTAATTTTATACACAAGTTAAGTCTGATTTTGATTCATATCATGTTCTTCGAAAGATGATTTGAAAGCAAAATAAAACCCACAGTGAAAGAATTGTTTTGCAGACCACCCTATGCAGACAGAGCCTGTGGGAAATATTGGGTGGGGAGCAAATGAGCGGAGGGTGCGGAGCTAACGGTCATTTTTTAATTTAAATTTGGGATATTTCTGGAACTAAGCCGTTTTGGGACTTCAAATATACCAAGATATGTGTATTTGACACCAAATATCAATACAATTGTGAAAATAGTAGCGCAATTCATTCTATAGCGACGCAGTGTGCCTTAAACCTTTCCCAGACCTATATATTTTGAAATTATCCTTTTAATACTGAGTCCCCAGCATTCATAAAAAATGGTGTTCAAGGTACACTATCTATACAAATTATTTTTGCATCTTGGAAGCCGGGCAGTATCAGTGTGATTTTATAAAAATTCGGAAATGTTTTTCAGATATGAGCCCCCTCTAAATATTGGGTGCGGAGCAGCTCCATAAACGTAGCTCCGCACCCAATATTTAGAGGGGGCTCATATCTGAAGAACATTTCCGAATTTTTATAAAATCACACAGATACTGCCCGGCTTCCAAGATGCAAAAATAATTTGCATGGGTAGTGTATCTTGAACACCATTTTTTATGAATGCTGGGGACGCAGTATTAAAAGGATAGTCTCAAAATATATAGGTCTGGGAAATGTTTAAGGCATACTGCGTCGCTATAAAATGAATTGCACTACTATTTTCACAATTTTATTGATATTTGGTGTCAAATACACATATCTTGGTATATTTGAAGTCCCAAAACGGCTTAGTTTCAGAAATACCTCAATTCTAAATTCAAAAATGACCGTAAGCTCCGCACCCTCCGCTCATTTGTGCCGCACCCAATATTTCCCACAGGCTCTGTCTGCATAGGGTGCAGACACACATTTGAAAATGTAATTCAAAAACATTGTCTCTTTCCATTGAAGGCTTAGCTAACAGGTGCTAAATTTTCATTCATTGATTATATGGCTAAAATGTGTAATATATTAAATGTGAATTAATAAATGAAAATATAAAATTGAACTTAATAATATAACGGTTATAATATTTTGTGCTACAGGTAGTCTCCAAGGGCAACAGTTGCCTGGCAACCCTCAGGCAAACACCAGTCCTGCCCCTGGTTCTGCAGGCCTCAATGCTATCCCAACAACAACCCTGCCCACAAGTATGGCATCGACAGGGGAGAACATAGCTCTAACCAACCGGGGGACCAAAGAATGGCACCAGCATGTTACGCAGGATTTAAGGAATCATCTGGTGCACAAATTGTAAGTCATTCCCCATTTGTTTGCTTCACTAATTGATACGTCCATTTGAAACCAATAATATTACATTGGAATTATTGCAGTTATAATTACCATTCAGAGATTTTTGCAAACAGATTATGGGACACTATTTTAATATATTCATTTATTTGTTACTATCGAAACACATGGGACACAACTTTAAGAATCATGTACTACAGTCCATCATGTATATAGGATGACATATATATAGAGTTGCTACCTAGCTTCACATTTACATAATTTAATTCTTAATATAATACTCTCAAGAGGTTAACAGATTTTCATATGTTAAAGAATTCACATTTTTAAAAGCAAAAATAAAAAATTTAATTACGTTTGATATTTCATAGGAACCTTGAGAAGAAAAGGTCAGATTGACTTGAGACTTGCACAGTTAACATCTAGTATATGTTGAATCATGGTCAGGTTGACTCATACAGGGAGGATACAGCATGAAGCCTGCATATTTTCTATACCCGCATTCTGTTGCCATACCAGTGGAATATGGAATTTAAACTTGTTCTATTTCTAGAGTCAGAATGGCAACATAGATCTTAAACTTACAAAAGTAATATATAAATTTATGATATATAGCTGATTACATAGTCACTTTAAATATCAATTATGTCTATAACTAATCATTTATAGGGTTCAAGCAATATTTCCGGCACCTGACCCCCAAGCATTAAAGGACAGGAGGATGAATAATCTAGTCGCATATGCACGTAAAGTGGAAGGAGATATGTATGAGTGTGCCAACAGTCGCGAAGAGTACTACCATTACCTAGCTGAAAAAATCTACAAGATACAAAAAGAACTTGAAGAAAAGCGTCAAAAGCGAGTTAAGGAGCAAAATCCTAATGCTCCTCCTGGAGCTGCTATTCCACCACCCGCAAGTTTAGCAACCACATTAGCCCAGTTACGGGGACAAGCCAATGGGCCCTTATCTGGTCCCACTCCAAGGTTAGGTGCAAGTTTGCCTGGGGGTACGGATCCATTTAATTCACCTCCAGCCACCCCAATGCCTCTGAACAATCTGAGACCATCATTGGCAGCAAATGGTTTAGCACCCAGCACCAATCAGAACCAAGTAAGAATGGTAAGTCCTCTATATTATTAGTTGTAATAATTATTTGTATTTTAAATCATATTTTATATTATTTAGTATCTACCCTTTTATGACATTTTATTAAATTAGACATCTGGAATGAAGGAATGGTATGAGCCAAAAATATTCTAGAATTAAAACAATCTTTGTTTAGCTTGCTCCCTAGATCTGATTCTGCCTCTAAGGAAACATTTCCATATCCTGGCAGTTTCATGTGTCGTAGAAAGTTATATTTGAATTGTTCCCAGAAACTCATAAACATGCAATAAGTAGTCTCTATGGGTCAGAATTCCTCAAAAGCTACATTTCTCTGCTATAGATGGGTCCACCTCCTCAACCTCAAAGTGTACACCGTGCTTTAGAAGAATCGCAGCGACAGTTCCAAAATGCTCTTCAGAAGAGAGAGGCACAGGTATGTTTCAATTACATGTTGTCAGTCAATAGTTATGTAGGAAAATCAAGCTTTGTATAATCCAGACAAGCAACTTAAGATGGACATTTAACCACACAGATAAATGGTACTTTTATGACCCATGACCATCTTGCTCCTAACTAAATACCCAATAGGCAATATTTCACCATGTAGATTAAAAATATTGATTTTGAAAATTCAAAAAGTTATTTATTCCATTGATAAACATTTCTTAACCTGTTTTCTTTTGTGTAACATGTAAGACTTTAAGTTCTGATCAACTCAACATTACACATAAGATGACTTAAGTCATTATTGTAAGTTAAGCTTAGTAGTTCTGGGATAAAAATCCAAACTTAATTGAGTATAGAAAGACCTAACACCATGTCTGTCTTGGATAGTGTTGTAATAAAGGTGGTTTAGTTGTGATCTCCCCAGGAGCTAATTGAATGGTGCCCTACCCTGTTGGTTCATTTCTAGTGCCCTGTACCCACCCTGTTCAATACATCCACCCTCCATGCTGTCCGTTAAAATTCCTGCTAAAAAATTCGGAAATAATTCAGAAAAATTCAAAAAATTTGAAGATCACTTTCCCTGCATTAAACCCTGATTAGGATATATGAATACTGTAAACAATTCTCTCTTCCTGTAACAACGAGGCCTGTAATGATCTTATAGCTGTAGATGTGCAAAACGATTTAAAAGAGAACAGTTTAGAGATAGTAAGGCCCCTCTGAATGCTGAAACTTGATAAAAATCCTGAGGAGATCACTTTTTAGCTCGATTTTTCAGAATGGAACAGAGCTTTATAGCAAAGCTTCTATTCCTTGATTTGTGAGGAATTGGCCTGCAATTTATCTGATCATCTCCAATGTGGTTTGTCATTATGAAAAATGAAATGTTTCAGTTGAATGATCAGCAACAGCAGCAGCAACAACAACAGCAAACTAGCACTGCTACAACAACAGCCCAACAAACACCTCTTCAGCAGCTCATCAGTGATACTGGGCCAGGCACTACAACAGCCAGCAAAGATTTGGCAACCGCTGTCAAAACAGAAATCAAAGAGGAAATCAAGACTGAAGTGAAGACAGAACCAACTGATAGCAGCTCATATCAGCCAGCAGCTGCAGCCATTAAAACCCCAGAAGTAGCTGACAAAACTATAAAGGAAGAGATTAAGACAGAGCCAGGTGCAGATGCATCAACAGCAGTTAAGGAGGAACCTAGTGATAAACCAGAGCCTTCCACTCCAGCAGACTCTAGTACAGATAGCAAAGATGTGTTGGTGAAAACTGAGAGCACACCACCACCACCAGTCAAACCTAGGGCAAAGAAAAGTATGTATTCCCCTGTTCTAATCGCTGTAATCCTCATCCTAAGATACAAATACAGTTACTATTGTTACAACTTGTTTTTACCACAGGTAACTACTGACAATACAACTGGGAAACAGGAACATCGTTGTTTAGCTTAATTTCTAAGAAAGTTTTGGCTCATTATTATTAATTGTGGCCATTACATTGCAGTATTTATCCCAGATGAATTACGGCAAGCGTTAATGCCTGTTCTGGAGAAGTTATACAAACAGGACCCCGAGTCTCTGCCATTTAGGAATCCAGTAGACCCAGAAGCTCTACAAATTCCTGTAAGTTTGAACATAAATGTTTTATATTTTTCTTTTTCATTATACCTATTCCAGTTTTTAATCCGGATGAATTACGTCAAACGTTGATGCCCATTTTGGAGAAGTTAAACAAGCAAGATCCAGAAGCTGTGCCATTCAGGGAGCCTGTAGATCCCATTGCTCTAGGAATACCCGTAAGTTTTTAAAGGCACAGACCAATCAGCATGTCACACTAATACCATTTAGGATAAGTAGTTGTTCCATAACATAACTTTGGCTGTTGAGTGTAATGACTAGTAAGCAGATAGTGTGGACAACTGGAGATCATACATGCTCTCACTTGGCATTTAACAGTTACAGTACACTTTCTAAGTTCATACTTAAGGCAATAGGGTCTCAGATTGTAGTTATATTGAAGTAATGTGTTCAGGACAAGCTCTAGTTGCTATGGCAATAAATTTGTAAAATGATTCAGCTTTCACTTCCTTGTAGGTAACATTAAAAGCATGTTTTCACCATAACCTTTGTTCATCAGCTTAAATTCCTATTCATTCATTTTTTGATGGAACAAAAATGTGAGAATACATCTTTTATTCATTCATTTTGTTCATGGCCTACTTCACTCTATTTCCCACCATCCACCATTTCAAATACTTTAACTTTCAGGACAAGATTCTTCCCTCACACCGGAATAGCCTGACTACGGTAAAGTCAGATACGGTTGTCACAAATGGCGGAGATAACCGTCGCTTCAACTGTTTAATCACTTGGTCCTCATTTGATGGGTTGTTATTGTCACTAATTCTGTGCATGCATTAAGCTCTTGTGATAATGTATCATATGAAAACCCATTTTCGATCAAATTGGGTCGTGAATCGCCACAATATAGCGTCTTCGATATCGTCAATGACAGTGGAATCTGATTTTTAGTAATTTAGAAAGACAACGGCATATGGTAATTACAGTGTCCGTTGTCCCGTATCTCATTTTGATCGGTTAAATTAAAGACTTTATTTCGATGGTAGAACATTATTATCTGTACAATGAGTATTAAGACACTTTGATTGATTGTTGTTCCAAAGGAATTTGATCTAGGTGCTCTATTAAACATACAGTTCATGAAAATCTAATTGAAGTGACGGTTAAGTCCGCCATTTGTGACAACAGTATCTGACTTTACCGTAGTCAGGCTGTTTCGGGGTGTCCCTGTCATTAAATTCATCAAATCAGATAAAATAATATTTTCATCACCATTTTGAAAATTTATTTTTGAAAGGTCTGTGTCTTTAATAGACGGGTAGTTATTAACATGCATGTTCCTTATCACACTAACACCTCAGTTAAGATCACCTTGTATATTACAATGTAACAATGAAACACCCAACACCTCAGATAAGATCACCTTTTATTATCACACTCTAACAATGAAAACACCCAACGCCTCAGTTAAGATCACCTTGTATAACCACAATATAAAAACACCCAACGCCTCAGTTAAGATCACCCTGTATAACCACAATATAAAAACACCCAACGCCTCAGTTAAGATCACCTTGTATTACCACAATATAAAAACACCCAATGCCTCAGTTAAGATCACCTTGTATAACCACAATATAAAAACACCCAACGCCTCAGTTAAGATCACCTTGTATAACCACAATATAAAAATACCTAACACCTCAGTTAAGATCACCTTGTATTACCACAATATAAAAACACCCAACGCCTCTGTTAAGATCACCTTGTATAACCACAATATAAAAACACCTAACACCTCAGTTAAGATCACCTTGTATTACCAAAACAGTGTTCTCCCCCAAAAAAAATTTCAACTGGGTGCAAGATTTCAAGTCTGAAAAAATCAGCTATCGCTACGCTCACAATATCTCAGTGTAGGTGCTTACTTCACTCATTTTTCAAATCAGAAGTTGAAGTGCAGATTCCAACTGGGTGCCAACTGGGGGGCCTTTGGTTTCAAGTAGGGGGAGCCCCCGGTAAAAGTGACATGGGGAGATCACTGCACAATATAAAAACACCCAATGCCTCAGTTAAGATCACCTTGTATAACCACAATATAAAAACACCCAACGCCTCAGTTAAGATCACCTTGTATAACCACGATATAAAAACACCCAACGCCTCTGTTAAGATCACCTTGTATTACCACAATATAAAAACACCCAACGCCTCAGTTAAGATCACCTTGTATAACCACAATATAAAAACACCCAACACCTCAGTTAAGATCACCTTGTATAACCACAATATAAAAACACCCAACGCCTCAGTTAAGATCACCTTGTATAACCACAATATAAAAATACCTAACACCTCAGTTAAGATCACCTTGTATTACCACAATATAAAAACACCCAACGCCTCTGTTAAGATCACCTTGTATAACCACAATATAAAAACACCTAACACCTCAGTTAAGATCACCTTGTATTACCACAACAGTGTTCTCCCCCAAAAAATATTTCAACTGGGTGCAAGATTTCAAGTCTGAAAAAATCAGCTATCGCTACGCTCACAATATCTCAGTGTAGGTGCTTACTTCACTCATTTTTCAAATCAGAAGTTGAAGTGCAGATTCCAACTGGGTGCCAACTGGGGGGCCTTTGGTTTCAAGTAGGGGGAGCCTCCGGTAAAAGTGACATGGGGAGATCACTGCACAATATAAAAACACCCAATGCCTCAGTTAAGATCACCTTGTATAACCACAATATAAAAACACCCAACGCCTCAGTTAAGATCACCTTGTATAACCACAATATAAAAACACCCAATGCCTCAGTTAAGATCATCTTGTATAACCACAATATAAAAACACCCAACGCCTCAGTTAAGATCACCTTGTATTACCACAATATAAAAACACCCAATGCCTCAGTTAAGATCACCTTGTATAACCACAATATAAAAACACCCAACGCCTCAGTTAAGATCACCTTGTATAACCACAATATAAAAACACCCAACGCCTCAGTTAAGATCACCTTGTATAACCACAATATAAAAACACCCAACGCCTCAGTTAAGATCACCTTGTATAACCACAATATAAAAACACCCAACGCCTCAGTTAAGATCACCTTGTATAACCACAATATAAAAACACCCAACGCCTCAGTTAAGATCACCTTGTATAACCACAATATAAAAACACCTAACACCTCAGTTAAGATCACCTTGTATTACCCACGACAATATAAAAACACCCAATGCCTCAGTTAAGATCACCTTGTATAACCACAATATAAAAACACCCAACGCCTCAGTTAAGATCACCTTGTATAACCACAATATAAAAACACCCAACGCCTCAGTTAAGATCACCTTGTATTACCACAATATAAAAACACCCAACACCTCAGTTAAGATCACCTTGTATTACCACAATATAAAAACACCCAACGCCTCAGTTAAGATCACCTTGTATTACCACAATATAAAAACACCCAACGCCTCAGTTAAGATCACCTTGTATTACCACAATATAAAACACCCAACGCCTCAGTGAAGATCACCTTGTATAACCACAATATAAAAAAAACACCCAATGCCACAGTTAAGATCACCTTGTATAACCACAATATAAAAAAAACACCCAACGCCTCAGTTAAGATCACCTTGTATAACCACAATATAAAAAAACACCCATCGCCTCAGTTAAGATCACCTTGTATAACCACAATATAAAAAAAACACCCAACGCCTCAGTTAAGATCACCTTGTATTATCACAATGTAATAATTGAAACATCAACTTAAGATTACCTTGTTATGTCACCACCAGAAGTGATGACATATTGTAATAGTCTCCACCTTTTTTTGTTGACAGTGTTTGGCGGTTAGTGTTCAGTGGTTGGACGTGTTTAGCAATTGGTATATGTAACAAATGGCAGGTGGTGATATTTTGCATGTTAATGCCTTGTTTTATTGTAAAATTGTTGATGCCTTGATTCAGTAATAAAATTGCGGCATAAACAATATTATCCATGCATGACAAACTTTTTCAAACCATGAAAACACTGAAATTAATTTTCCAGGACTACTTTGATATTGTGAAATGTCCTATGGACATGGCCACTATACGCCGTAAACTGGACACAGGACAGTACCAGGACCCTTGGCAGTTCTGTGATGATGTATGGCGCATGTTTGACAATGCTTGGGTCTATAATAGGAAGACATCAAGGGTCTATAAGTACTGCACCAAACTAGCGGAGGTATTTGAAGGGGAGATAGATTCTGTGATGCAAGGTTTGGGGTACTGTTGTGGGAGGAAACATGTCTACAACCCACAGGTGTTGTGCTGCTATGGCAAGCAGTTATGTACCATACCCAGAGATGCCACCTATTTTAGTTACCAATCAAGGTATGTAATGTAATCATCATCGCAAAATAGGTAAAAATAGAGAAAAAAGAGAAAAATATTAAAGGACCTTGCAATTGTACTGAAACCAATATACCATGTGAGGCCATTCATTCATTAAATATATCAAGAGCAATACCATCTTTATTTCATGTAGATTAAGAATAGGAACCAAAAAGGCACATATTCTTCTGACACATTCTTAACATGAATTAATACATCACTAGCAGAAGTGAAAGTAATACTTTTGACAAAATAGGAACCCCCAACACTTTAAAAGTTGTAAAAATGTTCAGAATGTATTTGTACTAGTAAGATTGATTCCAGGATCTGCTTTCATTGAGATTTCTTCTAACCTGATGTCAATTGTCAGATTGTACTTTATGAATAAAGATGTGCTGGTCACCACTTTATCAACTCATTTGGTCTGCATCGTACAAATTAGAATTTCAAAACAAACTGCATGGATTCCATTTCTGTTTACTTTCATATTTTCAATACAAACTGCATAGATTCCATTTTTGTTTACTTTCATAATTTGCTGCTGTGTTGCATGATGTGCCTACAGTCTGAGGCAGTTTGGCAAATTATCTGACAGATATGTCTATTGTGAAAAGTGTTTCAATGAACTACCAGGGGATGCTATAGAACTATCAGAGGACCCCACAACTTCCAAGTAAGTATAACACAATTAGATATTTCTTTTTATGTACAATAGACGTATTAAAACATGAAATATTGGACTTAGAAGATATGGATACATATATATTTTTTACTCATTTTTTGTTAAATGGTCGTTAATTCAAGGATTTAAAGAGTTGTTGATCTAACAATCTTATATGTAATATTGCTAGAAAGTTTATACTGCTTTATGAAAAATATACTTTTTGAATCCCGTACATCTTTTTTTTCTTAATGTTCTTGTACTAGGAATTTGATCTTGGAAATTAACACTGCAGCATTCTAAAAGTTTAAGGAATATTAAAAAATGCTTGAATACAATCAAAATGCACAACTATGTATCATTTTAATAGATATGTGGGTTTAGGTCAGTAGTCAAAAATTGATATTAAAGGAGGATCAGATCTAGCGAGCAAGCTTGACAAAAAACTGTTTCAATTTTAGATTTTTTTGCTCAAATCATTCCTTGTCTATTTTCTAAATATCCCCAAAGTGCAACTTCACTTATTTATAATATATTGTGGATCTTTTGTGAGATGTTGTATTTGAGATCATAAGGAATTAGTTTGGTAGGTCAGTTGTAGATGTTGCAATTTTGTCACCCGTATAGATCTGATTCTGCCTTTAATATGGCTTATTCCAATGTGAAACAACTTAATTTTTCAGTATTGGGTCAGTTCCCCAAATCCTCTTCTACTAATGCCTAGCTCACATAAGCTCCGATTGATCGGCTGGCGCCCGGCAGATTGAGTATTCTGTTCAAAAATAAATGCAATTCTGAACAAAATACTCAATCAGACATGCGCCAGCCGATGAATAGGAGCTTATGTGATCGAAGCATTAAAAAGAAAACAGATGTCATTAAAACTTGACAGAATAAAATTTAAGGCTATGTGATAAGGGTATTCATGGTATTTTGATAGATTCCATCTACTTAATACCTTCATTTTGATCATAATGGCATTGTTTATCTAATTATAATGACTCAGATGCGAGTATGTAGTTACCAGTTTCACCACTAGGTGGCTCGTTCGGGTCAAATAGCATGGCGGGTATAGGAAAAAGTTCCCTTTAACTTAATATTTATCTGTTTTAGCCGTTCAATTTTCATATCACCCTTATGTATCTAATAATTATGCAAATTAAAATATGTCCAGCTAAGGAAAATATTATCTGACCATTAAAATAAAAGATATTTAACTTTTTGTGATTTTATAACATGGGCTCTATGGGGAATCTCCCCGAACTGGAAATTACATTTTCAAATAAAACTAAATTTTCAAAGTTGATAAACAATTTCTGTAACCATATTTCTAGATGTATTTCAAATATGATATCACTTTGACTGAATTCTGAATATTTAATGACGTAAATCAAGATTATATCTACTCGCATCTAGTCTATTCTTACCATATCTATTTTAAGAATTATTACCATGGAGTAACGGTGGTGTTTGATGTAGCATGAATTCTTTATAATTACAGTATCAATGTTATTAATGGCTACACTTCCTATTGCAGCAAGATTCTTAAGGATCAGTTTGCCAAGATGAAGAACAACCTTTATGAAACCGAACCGTAAGTTAGTCGGTTGAGGTCTCCAATACTTTTGTTTCTTGTTTACAGGCCTCACTAACCAATCAACACTTAAGCCATCTTGTAATAAATGTTGATCCAGTAGTATGTGCATCTTAAGAAATTCTGTCTGCTCTTCCTGAACAAAGTCAAAGCTGTAGTGCTCCTGACTTTCAAATTTCAAGCAGTACAGCTTTGTTTTAAGACAATTTGAAATCTGAAAAGGTGCACATACTGGGATAGACATCTAGTCTTAGAGGTTACAAATAATGGCAGGAAGGTGGAATGGTTTAGTGTGAATCCAGTGAAACAACCAGGGAATCTTGCAACTTTTCATGGTTCAAAAAATGCTTGTGGCATGAAATTGTAACTGAAACAATTCCTTTAGTTCAGTTATCACATGTTTGATATTTTATTGTTATAGCCAAGCACATTTGCCTTATATTAGCTAGTAAAACCATGAAAAGTTCCGAGAAGCACTTTGTTGTTCTACTTGGATGTAGGTTGTGGTTTATTATTTATGCTGTTGTGTACTTAGAGTTCACCTGTTGCTTCTGCTGTTTGTTTTAGTTGTATACGTAAGGACCAGTTTGTTAAGGAAAAGAACGATCAGTTAGATTATGAACCGTAAGTGATTTAATCATGATTCTATTCCTCTCTCTCTCTTATGTTGTTAGAACAGCTAGCTGCACTCCTAGAAGTGTTTGCTCATAATCTTAGATGTGACCCTTGTATCTTTAAAGATCACTGAGAAAATTTACATTCTGTTATGATTTAATCTGGTTAACTGCATCATGGGTAGTTTCATAGTTTCTTATGCTGGTGTATTATTTTATAGTTCATATGGATTCTGGGCACACTTAACGATAATTAAGTTATTTTGTCCTGTATTCAGGGAACTTATTTCACATTTTAAATATAAGAAGTTTGCATTTTACAAATATTAATAACCATTTAAATGTTGAGATGGAATAACCATTTAAATGTTTAGTTGTAGCAGGTAAGCCTATTTAGAGCCACACACAATCTTCTTCCAGTGGGCTATTGAGATGGCTTCACAGTTTAGGAGATTGTAAAACGTGTATGAAGTGTACTGAATTTAATTTATTGTGCAATCCTTTTAGGTTCATGGAGTGCCAAGAATGTGGGAGGAAACTTCACCAGATATGTGCCCTTCATATGGATCAGATCTGGCCTAGCGGGTATGTCATGTTTTCTTTCTTTTTCTACGTACTGCAATCATCCACTTGTGAGTCTGTCTGTCAACAATAGTAGCTCTTTGTTTGAGGTCTGGTCTTCATTGCAGATTGTTTTGAACTTTTTGACCTGACATATTTCATTTTTGAGATATTTACTGCAAAAAAGTTCAAAAGTGGTTCAATAATCCATTTTCAAAATCCAAGAAAATTCTTTGGCTTTATTAAGAATTTATAGAGTGATTGTCATTTAACAGAATACTTCAGATTGAACTGTTTTTTTTCATTATTTTTATTGATTGTTTCAGATTTGTGTGTGAATTGTGCCTAAAATCCCAAGGAAAGAAACGTAAAGAAAATAAATATGTCTCAAAGAGTAAGTATATAATTTTCATATTTTTCATATCGTTTTTGGATTGCTTTGATTATCTTAAAAATTGCATTGAATATTGCCACATCTTTTTCTCTATGGACATGATAGAAAGTGAACTTGTTTTTCAGGACTGCCTAACACCAAACTTGGTTCGTATCTTGAAAACCGTATCAACTCATTTCTCAAGAAGAAGGATGCTGGAGCAGGAGATGTTACCATACGAATTCTTAACAGTTCCGATAAAATAGCAGATATAAAACCGGGACTTAGAAATAAGTAAGTTCTCAAATACATATACCAGTATTATAATTTTCCAGTGTGGAAAGAAGAGTTGGATCTGGTCTGGTCAAGTCAGTAAGGTCTCAAATTACATAAAGAAAAAATAAGTTTGAACATGTCATTCATTTACAGGTACTAAAAGCTAGTTTTTTTAACAAATTTTAATTTTAGGAACTTCTTTATTGCACTTTGATACATGTTTGCGGAAAAACAGCTGAAAACCATCACAAATTGCTGATATTTGTTCTTATTTTTCAAAGTTAGGAATGGAAATACTGTAGCCTGTAATAACAATATTCTGTGAAGTTGCCATTTTCTAGTTCTCATATTATTTCAGGTTTGGGGAAGAACTGCCAGAGAATTATCCATACAAGGCCAAAGCAATGTTTGCGTTTGAGGAGATTGATGGGACGGATGTTTGTTTCTTCGGCATGCATGTCCAAGAATACGGGTCAGACTCCCCACCACCTAACTCCAGGTAATTTGTTTAATACAGTGTAATTTTGGAGATCATGTGCAAATGAGAATTATGAACTTCAATGGAATGACTTCAAGGCTTCATAATAGTCTTCAACCAATAATTATTATGACTTGTGTCCATTCAGGGTTCATAATTTTTTCATTAATCACGTAACAATATAGTGATTGTATGAATGGAAATTTCTTAAAGTCTCTTGAGCTCATTTAGGTGAGTTACTGTTATCATCCACATCCAAAAGTAATCCTTTAGATATTACATTTCCAGTATTCATTTTCTACTTTCAGACGTGTGTATATATCATATCTAGACAGTGTTCATTTCTTCCAACCTCGTCAGTTCAGAACTGCTGTATATCATGAAATCCTCATAGGCTACCTAGACTATGTTAAAAACCTGGGGTAAGTGCTATATTTTACAACTGTTTATGATCACACTCTACACAGCAAACTTAATACTGGCATGAATTTCATAATATAGATACAGTACAGAGAGAATCTATTCATCACATTAAATCTTAAGTCTCTTTCTCAAACTTAGATTCAATCTTTGCCAATATTCTGAATTTGAAAATTTGCCACATGAGATACAGTACCATGCTATATAGAACTATATGTGGCTTATAAAACCTATTTATGTTAATTTCTAGGTATACCATGGCCCATATCTGGGCTTGTCCCCCTAGTGAGGGAGATGATTATATATTCCATTGTCATCCAGTGGAACAAAAAATACCAAAACCAAAGCGCTTACAAGACTGGTACAAAAAGATGCTGGACAAGGCCATCATTGAGCGTGTTGTCATAGATTATAAAGTAAGGAGATAAGTTAATAAGTGTAGAATCCAAGCAATAAATCATTAGTCTTGGCCATACATAAGAAGATGAGAGTATACAAAATGTAAAATTTACAAATTTTGGGGATATGTATCTAGACAACATTGGAAATTATGGGCTTTCAAACCACCATGGTTTGGAAATGGTGATAGAAAATGGACCATTTATTTATTTATTGTTCAAACTATAAAGTCCTGCATATAACCCGAGAAGAATTCTCTGGGATTAGCTTATATATTAAGCTTTCAAGTTCATTATGGATCAGGCCAAATTATTGATGTATTGTATCCTGTGAATGTTGCAGGATATTATTATGCATGCAGGAAATTAAAAGTTTCAAAGTTTTTAGTTTTAAATAAAATCTTTGATTAATGCATACCATTTGGCAGTATGTTGCAGGATATTTTGTTTTAACATACATATGTGGAAATTTTTCAGGATATTCTAAAAGATGCTATAGAGAACAACATGCAAAGTGCTGCTGAGCTTCCATACTTTGAGGGTGACTTCTGGCCCAATGTCATTGAAGAGAGCATCAGGGAGTTGGACCAGGAGGAAGAAGAGAAGAGGAAGAGAGAGGAGGCTGAGGCTGCTGCAGCCGAGGCAGAGGCTGCTATGGGTTCAGTTGACAATGATGAGGGCAGCGAAAATGGGGATGTAAGTTATCTTTCATTTATCTGTCGATCTAGTAGATGTATTTGGTATATAAATTTGGATCTGTAATGAATTGTTACATTTTAGAATTACCTTGGTACATGTACTTAGTTCCAATACTGTACTCCCAGTATTTTTTTGCGTGCGATCTAGTTTCATGCTTATCGCGATCTTGTAGTAAAATCGCGAAAATTAAAATAAAAATTGTCTCAACTGACATTTAATTTAATCATTAAATCTGATTGTTCTACTAGATTATTGAAACAGAGTTTTATAACTTTTGTGTATTATGATTATTTATTTTGTTCAGAATTACTTATTCATCTTGGTTTACTCCAAGTTGAATTTCATAATGTCATAATCTTATATTATCTTTGCTGTGCAGATTGTTGGTGCTAAAGGCAAGAAGAAAGGCCAAAAGAGTGGTCGCAATAAGAAAGCAAACAAGTCAAAGGCCAATAAGAAAAACAGCAAAAAGTCTAACCTCCCCCAGGGAAGCAATGACCTTTCTGCAAAGCTCTACTCTACTATGGAAAAACATAAAGAGGTTAGTAGTCTGTTGATTTTGGGAGTAATAAGTGTGAAAATTATTTTTGAACAATTATGATCGAGTAAATAGTTATTTACGATATGTTTTGCTCAATGTAATTGTGTAGCATTGTGTCTGTATTAAAGCTAATTTAGACTGTGGCAATGGTCATGGCAATTTGATATGATGTTGATAAAATTGGAGTAAAAGTTGAACAAAAAAAATGTTTCATTTTCAGGTGTTTTTTGTGATTCGGCTTCATTCTCAACAAGTCGCTCAAAATCTACCTCAGATTCAGGATCCTGATCCTAACATATCTAATGATTTAATGGATGGACGTGACACTTTCCTCACCTTAGCACGAGAAAAACACTACGAATTCTCATCACTCAGGCGGGCAAAATTCTCCTCAATGGCATTGCTGTATGAATTGCATAATCAAGGACGAGATAATTTCGTCTACACCTGTAACAAGTGCAAAGCCAATGTGGAAACCCGCTATCATTGTACAGTATGTGAGGTAAGTTACACACAGAGTTCTACACTATCAAGTTCCAGAGCTGATTAACTTTTGGGCGGTCATCTTGTTTTCTGGTGGCCATTTTGCAGGTTTTTCGGAAAATCTTGTCATCGCCATTTCTGGAAAATCACTCGGCGGATTTTCTCCAAGATGTAGAGCTGATTAACTTTTGGGTGGCCATCCTGTTTTCTGGCGGCCATTTTGAAGATTTTTCATTGCCATTTTTGGAAAACCGTTCATCGGATTTTCTCCAAATTCACACACGTGATAGAGGATATCAAGTTGTAGAGCTGATTAACTTTTTGGTGGTTATCTTGTTTTCTGGTGGTCATTTTGAAGGTTTTTCGATAAATCTTATCATCCCCATATCAGGAAAACTGCTTGTCAGATTATCTCCAAATTCGCACACATCATAGGAAATCAAGTTCTAAAGCTTGTTTTCTGGTGGCCATTTTGAAAGCTTTTCGGAAAATCTTGTCATCGCCATTTCAGGAAACCGCTTTTCAGATTGTTTCCAAATTCGCACACATGATAGAAGATATCAAGTTTTAGACCTGATCAACTTTTGTTTTAACTACCTACCTTCCAATAAGATTGATCTTAGGTGTAAATTTAGTGGGAAACCTATGAGAAGTGCCATCACTAAACATGAATCCTTGAGATGTAACTGTCAGCAATAGAGAATTTTCTTCTTTATATATATATATGTGAACATAATGATTATTATAATGTACTGTTGTTGTGTTGCAGGACTTTGACTTGTGTCTGGAGTGTCACAAGAATACAGGACATCCCCACAAGATGGAAAAACTAGGATTTGATCTGGACGATGATGATACCGGTGCCAATAATAAGTCAAACCCACAGGAATCTCGTCGCCAGTCAATACAGAGATGTATTCAGTCTTTGGTTCATGCCTGTCAGTGTCGCAATGCTAACTGCCGACTTCCAAGCTGTCAGAAGATGAAACGTGTTGTGGGCCACACGAAAGGCTGCAAACGCAAAACCAATGGAGGTTGTCCTATATGCAAACAGTTGATCGCACTTTGTTGTTATCATGCTAAACACTGCAAGGAGACAAAGTGTATGGTGCCATTCTGTCTGAATATAAAACAGAAGATGCGCCAACAGCAATTGACCCAAAGTCTCATGCAGGCCCAGCTAATGAGGCGTAGAATGGCCACAATGAGGAGTTCTATGTCTGCTACCACAGCCCCTGCTGTGACTGCTCCCCCTCCTGCCGCTGCCTCCCCAGCCATGAAGGCAGGTCCACCTGTAGCAGGGGGAGGGAAACCGGGTGGAGGGGGGCTGGCTCCCCCTCAGGCAGCTCTCCAAGCAGCCCAACAGGCCCAGAAAGCTGCACAAATGCAGGTCCAGAATCTGCCTTACCAGAAACCCCCAGTTACCCAGCCTATGATGCCCCCTGCAAATCCAAACATCAGGGGCCCTGGGCCTGTTATGCCCCAACAACGTCCTCAGGTAGCACCCATGGCTGCCCAACAACAGAACATGCTTCCCTCATTAAACAGATGGGGACAACAGCAACAGCAAGGACAGGGCTTTCCCCAGCAGAACATGGCTCAGAATCCCCAACAGCCTATGAGGCAGATGACTCCTGGTCTCAACCCACAACCCCAGAATCCACAACAGAGGGCCACCAACTCCCACCAGGCTCTTCAACAGTTGCTGCAAACGCTCAAATCCCCTCATTCACCCCAACAGCAACAACAACTCCTCAGTATCCTCAAATCAAACCCTCAACTCATGTCAGCATTCATCAAGCAACGCCAACAACAAAATCAACAACAGCAGCAACAAGCTCAGCAGCAACAGCAACACCCTCAGCAGCAGCAGCTTGGGCCAGGGGGTATGCAGCCTCAAGGTCAGAATCCCCAACAGGTAGCAGGTATGCCTGGGCCACCTCAACCTGGCATGCAGCAACCTGGCAATCAACAGCAGCTAAACACCTGGGCCTATCAACAGCAGCGCCAGCAACAACAACAGCAGCGCTTGCAGATGTTACAGCAACAACAGCAAGCTAGGCAACAACAGCAACAAGTGCAATTTCAACCGCCACAGGCACCTCCATATTCTCAAGGCCAGAGGGCACAGATCAACTTTGGGGCTGCAAACCAGAACTTCCAAGGAGACAGCAATATGGTCTCTCAATATCAACAACAGCAGCAGCTACTACAGATGCAAAATCATAAGCTACAGCAGCAGATGTTAGCTGGTAACCAGCCGATGAGTCCCCAGCAACAGCAACAGATGCTGGCTCAACAAACGAATCCCTCACCCCAGCAGATCATGCAACAGGTCCGCTCTCCACCAACAGCCATGCATCAGAATGTACGCTCGCCAAATCCAACCCCATCACCTCGCCAGGGGCAACCAGTACCATCCCCTCGGCAAAACCCACAGACAATCCCCTCCCCTCATCCCCACACAATGCCCTCCCCTCATCATCAGACACATTCCCCACACCCTAACCAGGTGGATACAAGCATGAGTGGGGATTCTGTAATGTTGACCCAGCTCCCAGGGGCCATGGGCCCTGCCTCCCTCCAAACCACAGGACCGGATATGGTCCTCCATAATGACAATGACAATAATGTTACACCTCTTACACCACAAGAAACTTTATCAAGACTGGTTGATAATTTGTAGCATAACCAGTATCGCTATATATATATAGTAACTTATAATATATTATAATGTACAGTATCAGAGACTTTATATATGAACTATTTTGACAGTGTTTTCTGCGTAAAATAAATACTGTATATGAAAATGCTGAAGAGTAAAACAGTTTGCTATATGGTAAAAAAGTTATTATATAGAGAGTTTTATTACAATTTATTTTATAATGATATGATGAATGAGAATCTGAAGTGTAATGTAAATTGACTTGTACAGGTATACAGAGATAGTCTATTAACAATGACAAAGTTGCAATGTTTCTCTATGTGATGCCATGGTGCTATACCAGGTGAATGTAGTATATAATCACGTATAGCCTAGTTCATAGCCTAGTTCATCTGTTCACAGATGACCTCAATACTAGACGATACTAAGGATGGTAAATGTACAGGGGCTGGGTATTTGTAAAATATTGTCACCAGTTACTGGTTGTGTGTTGGATGTATAACCACCACAGTGGAACACACTGCACACATTGTAATCTGTCATATTCTAGCATTTACAAATAAATGTGTGCACATTTTCCAATTTTAAATATAAAATATATCTACCTTGTTTGTTGAGTTAGTGTCTGAGCATAGAGGTGCAGAATATATATATAATACTATGTGGCTTGTCCACCAAATAATAGTCAAAACCCTTTGCTTGTGAAGTAGCCTTCTGGATTCTATGAAAATGTCTTTCTGAATGTACATCTGACGTTTCCATCTATCTCTGGTCTCTGAATATAAAACTCAAGTTTCATCAATCTCTGATCTTTGAACATGAAACTGACTTGAATATAAAGCTGAAGTCTCTCTGATCTGACGTACATCAGTGGACGAATGAACCATAACCAAGTTAACGAGGCGTATAGCCTTTCTATTTTTTCGTGAAGCCACTAAGTAAAATTACGATTTCTCTAACCCTGATGTCCAATCAACATCATTCGAGCATTTACACTGTTGCTCATAAATATGGAACATTAAATTTGGCAGCTCAGAATTCAAATTTTGGAGAAGGAGAATATTTATTTGGAGTCGGTTCAGACATTTATTTTCTAGGCAAAGTATAACCACATATTTCATCTACAAATCAACATTTTTTAGAGAAAAAATATTCACATTTAAATTTAGAAAATTACTCTTATTTAACTGAGAATTTTTGCATTTTCAAAACACCCCGATCCAAATCGTCATGTAAAACAGATCAAACAAAATAAACATCTGGTCATGAAGATTGAAGTGTCCTCTATCCAATGATAGCATTTATATGCGGTATGTCCTCTTTGTGCTGCAATCAGAGCATCAACCCTACGGGACCAGCATTGAATGAAACATCTGACCTTTCTAAGTGAAATAAGGCCTCATTCCTCAATTTGAGCAGTACGTCTAAATTTTGAGGTTGGGGTCCAAGTCACGCATCTCATTACCAAGGTCGTCCCACATTTGCTCTGCATTAGCCTGATTGGCTGACTTTTGTGCCTATGGTAGCTGGTTCACATTGCCTGCCCTGATGTAATCCAACACGATGCCACTAGCATATGCAACAGCATGATCATTCTGCAGATGAATGTTGCCCCAAAACACTCTGTTTATATATGGTACTTGATGGAGGTCCAAAAGGTCAATTTACTCTGAAATTATGTTTGGGAATCACCAAGGGGGTGCAATTTTTGTAGTATTGCTCCAAACAACCTCTGTAATACTGCTCCAAACATAAATAGGATCACCTTCGTGGAGTGCCACATTATGAAGTGTCCTTATTGTCTCTTTCCTCTGGTCTACGACAGAAACGAACACACTTATCAACTTTGTGGAGGACACATCTTATTTCTTCACATGCTATATGACACAAAAGATTAGGTGCAACGTTTTTGTGCTTTCCTGCCCACTGAAGGCACCTTTCTTTGTTATGATCAGTCAGCTGTGGTTTCTTTAAAGGTCTCATGGCCTTGCATCCGTTCTAAAGAAATCACTGGTTGTCTATAGCTCTGGAACACAGGTTTTGAGGTGAGACAGCCATTCATCTCGTAGACTACTGGTTGACTTAAATCGATTTTGATGACATTTATGCAGCAGGTGGTGGTCTTTCTTACATTATTATTCTCCCTAGGGTTACTATTGCTGTGACATGGAGTCATATTCCAATGCCTTTGGTACCAATGCAGAATTTTAGAGACTGTTCCTGACACACCCCTAGGGTCCTGACAATGCCAGTTTGTTTCATGCCAGAGAACGCCATCCCTATGACCTGCCATGCTCTTTTTCGCTTATTTTGTGGGGCATGCCTTCTAAAAACTCTTCCAACTCTAAATTAAAGTTTTATAAAATGTGCACAATGGTTACAACTAAGATTTGGACACCTCTTTCAAGTTACCAATATCACGAGGTCATGGGGTCACCTGAGTGAATACAAGTTTAATCAACCATAAATATTTTAACTTTTCATACCAATCAGTTTTATATGCAAAACTGATGAGGGAATGAGAACACATTACAAATTTTCACCAAAATGTTATCATTTTGTAGAAATTCCATTAAACAGTTCGTATCTATAAAATATTCCATATTTATGAGCAACAGTGTATGTGTTTCTGACACGTTTGGGCATCCGGTAATGACAATGTTTACCCAAAGTTTGCACGCGAAATTGACGTAACTCATGACTCCGCGGCAGTGCTAGTCTTCAACATATTCTATTTCTAGCGAGACACAGCCATCCATGGCCAGTAGGTACCCAAAAACAATGTGCAATCTGGATTGTTGCAATCTAACAATGTGAAAGTTAACATTGTTACAATCTACAATCTGGATTGTTGCAATCTGACAATGTGAAATATAACATTGTTGCAATCTGGATTGTACAATCTGTATTATACATCCTCTCAGAATGGCAACAATCTTAGCAATACTGCAAAGTGCAGATTGTTGCAATGCGTGCAATCTGCAATCTGGATTGTTGCAATCTGACAATGTGAAACATAACATTGCTGCAATCTGCAATTAACGTAGCAATGTTGCAATGTGCAGATTGTAGCAATGTGTGCAATCTGCAATCTGGATTGTACAATCTGTTTTATACATCTCCTCTCAGAATGGCAACAATCTTAGCAATGTTGCAATGTGCAGATTGTTACAATGTGCAATCTGGATTGTTGCAATCTAACAATGTGAAATATAACATTGCTGCAATCTGCAATCTGGATTGTAAAATCTGTTTATATATCTCCTCTCAGAATGGCAACAATCTTAGCAATGTTGCAATGTGCAGATTGTTGCAATGTGTGCATTCTGCAATCTGGATTGTTGCAATCTGTTTTATACTACTCTCAGAATGGCAAACAATCTTAACAATCTTAGCAATGTTGCAATCTGCAGATTGTTGCAATATGGTTTATACTTTCAGAATCTAATATAACCTTAACATTGTTGCAATATGAATATTGTTGCAATGTGGATTGTGCAATGTTAATAATTAATATTATTATATGATATACACAATCTTTGTAATAGTAAACTATTTAGATGGTTACTCAATAGCAAATATAATGTGCAATATAATGTGTACACTATTGGAGTCAGCTTAAGATTGGCACAAGAATTTTAAATCTGTGCTGAAATATAAGTTTAATTACTTTCATTACTTTGTTTATTTTTTATTAAGAACTCTCTCTTTTGAAGTGGGAGAGTTGTATGTAGCCCCCATGCTTTGTTTCATCGTATCATATGTTGTTAATGAGATGCTGTTTCATGTGCAGTCTCTCCCCAAAGTGATATCTGCTCATTAAGAAGAAATTAAATACTGTTCAAGATAATGAATATTAATTAACATGGCCAATACAGAGCCAGTTGGAGTTACAGTGAAATGTAAACTTATTCAAACTTTGATTCTTCCATATATCATAGGTGTTAGTTGAAATGAAGTCAATGTGAACATGTACAAAAAGGGAGATCAGCTTAATCGTTTTCAAAATGTAACTCTTCAAAAACTTGGACTGACAAAGGTTAATTACTTTAAACTCATCTCTAGTCTTTGATATCCTTTGTGAGGGGAATCCATTTAGGCCTATTCTATTTTCAAGATGACATCTGAATCCAAATTATTCACTGGAAATCAAATTAGTTTCAACTTTTGAAATGTGTGTAATAATATGAGATTCTAACAATGGTCATTGTCTCTATCAAAAAATAAAAGTGTTACCAACAATTGCCTGGTCAATTTTGATGTAACCCTTTACTGAAAGCAGGTGAGTGCACTCTGATCTGGTCAAAACTACAAATCCATCTAAAATCGATGACATTTTGTATCTCCCTCTTCAGCCTTTTGTTGTTTACAATTGTGCTAAAAAAAGCTATAAGACCAAATAGGATTATACATTTAATTAATAAGGTCTCTCTTGGATTGAGCCTTTGGACCATCATAGAACTCAAAACCCACAGCCATCCATTACGATACAATAACTTCCCTAGAAATACAATAGTTAAAGATACTATTAAAATAAGATAATTCTTTTGGAATATTAATAAAAGCAGTACTGTTAGTAAGATTGTTGGCCATTCTGAGAGAAGTATAAATAATGCAATGTTATATTTCACATTGTTAGATTGCAACAATCCAGATTGCACATTGTAACAATCTGCACATTGCAACATTGCTAAGATTGTTGCCATTCTGAGAGGAGATGTATAAAACAGATTGTACAATCCAGATTGCAGATTGCACACATTGCTACAATCTGCACATTGCAACATTGCTAACATTGTTAAGATTGTTGGTCATTCTGAGGGGAGAAGTATAAAACAGATTGCACAATCCAGATTGCAGATTGCACACATTGCTACAATCTGCACATTGCAACATTGCTAACATTGTTAAGATTGTTGGTCATTCTGAGGGGAGAAGTATAAAACAGATTGCACAATCCAGATTGCAGATTGCACACATTGCAACAATCTGCACATTGCAACATTGCTAACATTGTTAAGATTGTTGGTCATTCTGAGGGGAGAAGTATAAAACAGATTGCACAATCCAGATTGCAGATTGCACACATTGCAACAATCTGCACATTGCAACATTGCTAAGATTGTTAAGATTGTTGACCATTCTGAGGGGAGAAGTATAAAACAGATTGTACAATCTAGATTGCAGTTTGCACACATTGCAACAATCTGCACATTGCAACATTGCTTAGATTGTTAAGATTGTTGGCCATTCTTAGTAGTATAAAACAGATTGTACAATCCAGATTGCAGTTTGCACACATTGCAACAATCTGCACATTGCAACATTGCTAACATTGTTAAGATTGTTGGCCATTCTGAAAGGAGAAGTATAAAGCAGATTGCACAATCCAGATTGCAGTCTGCACACATTACAACAATCTGCACATTGCAACATTGCTAACATTGTTAAGATTGTTGGCCATTCTGAGAGAAGTATAAAACAGATTGTACAATCCAGATTGCAGTTTGCACACATTACAACAATATGCACATTGCAACATTGCTAACATTGTTAAGATTGTTGGTCATTCTGAGAGAAGTATAAAACAGATTGTACAA